TCCCCGCCCGGAGCCCGCCCCGCTTCCCGCCCGGCCCGGCCCGGCCCGGCCCGGCCCGCTCACTTCTTCTCCCCCTCGAAGAGCAAGAAGGACTCGAAGGCCGGAGGCGCGTTCATCCCGCCACCGCTTCCGCTCAGCCTCGGGTCGCCGCGACGTCACTTCCGCCGCGCGCGTTGCACGAGTGACTGCTGCGCCCCGACGCCCCGCCCCCCGCGCGGAGGTGCTGGAGGAGCCGCCTCCAGGGTGGAGAATTTGCGGGCTCGTCCTGCTCCGGGGAGGTGTGGCCCGATGAGGGCCCGACCTGCCGCCCCTGTCTGATGAGCCTGAAGTTGGTTCCTTATTCCCGGTTGCCAGTTCCTTTTTCAAAGCTAATCTAGGCCCAATAAAAGCTTGTTATCAATGAATTACACGTCCTACAGAGACAGAATGTCACTAGCTAGGCAGACGTACTAATTAATATGTAAAGTAATACCCTGCATCCAGTACAGAGCCCTAAGGGCAGCTCAGATTAGGATGGGATTAGGGGCAAAATGCTTTTTGGGCCACCCCAAACTCCCTCTCCATGCCACTGGGGGACTGTCCCGAAGAGCCTGCCCGGCCCAAAGCAGGGTTGGGCTGTGCCAGGCTGCCAGCTGGTAGCCCCCTGCCCCCATCCACACTGTGCTAGGTCTAGTGGCTCGAATAAGGAACTGGCTTTTGGGCTGTAAGTATGGCTAGAAGTCCTGTTTGGGCCACCCCACGGCACGCCTCTCTGACACCTGGGGACTCTGCTAGACACATGTGACCAGAGTCTTGCCCTGTCCCGAGCGCAGTTTGTTCACGCCATGCTGCTAACTAGCAGCCCCTCCCCCCACACCATGCCAAGTGTCAGAGCTGACCTGAGCAGGGTGTGGGGCCCAGGGCAAATCAGCCCATGTGGGGCCCCCACCCCCGCTCCAATTCCCCCGGACCTGATAAAGCTGTTTTATTAGATTTTTAGTACTGGCCCAGGCCAGACTCAGCTTCAGGGCTGAAGCCAGAGCTGAGCCACCACCTGCTACAGGCCTGGGTGGCTTGTGCGTGGGGGAGACCCATGTGGCTTGAGGGGTGTGGGAGACACTATGCAGCCTGCCCTGCCTCCTTACCACCTTCCCCAACCCGTTCCCCGCCAGCAGTTGAGGAACTGCTTACCTTCATCTTTGGCTCTAGCTCCAGCCCCTATAGCCCCAGGGCCCAGAGCTGCTGCTACTGCTTGTGCGTGGCTGGATTAGGCCAGGACCACCACTGCTGACTGCCCTAATGCTGGAGCTGGGGCAACCATGGAAGGCAAGTGGTGGAGTGGGGGGGAGGTGGCAGGAGGTCAGGCACAAGCATAGGCATGGGGTGGGGGGTAAAGAATGGGGACCTGGCCCTTTACCACTGCTCTCTCTCCCACAGCAGTTTGGGGGATGAATTTAAGATGATCCTCCAGTAATTAGATTCTACACAAGGAAAATAATAAATTAATACTTTTCCTTGTATAGAATCTAGTGATTGTGGGAGGTGGAGGTAGGTATTTATATTTCTGCTTTAAATACCAGTCTTTCATAGCTAAGTAATAGTTCATTAAAATAATCTTTTCAATCTGAAATAGTTCTCTTACAATAATAAATGTTCCTTTTTTACTCATCTTTAAATTATTGATTCAAAGTCATCTTGGATAACTCAGGACAGATGAAAATGGAAGTGCATCAAAGAGACCAAAGTGCTACACATGCTGGTCAGCCATGGGAAGGAAGTAGTAGAAAGGGTTATTGCTCTCCAGCCCTCCCTGTGCTAAGCCTGTCCCCATCACCCCCAGAGGCTTTGCCTGAGGGTGCAGCAGGCAGGCAGTGAGGATGCAGATGCTGGGTGTCATGATACAAGATGCCTTTATTGTACATTCCCATACAGAGCACCTGCGCCGCGTTGTGCTGTTGTGCAGTGGTGGGGAGGGCGGCGCCAGGGACACCCCATCACAGGCCTTCGCTTCCAGAGGCTGCAGTCACCCAAGTAAGGAACACACCAGCCATGGCCTGGCAGGCTCTGGCCACAGCCCATGGCACGCAGCAGACAGACTTCCCTCTGCCAGGTGGGTGCCCTGTGCCGGTGGCATTGGCAGTATCACCTGCTGGCACTCTGGCTGTGTGCACAAGGCAGCAGTGCTTCCATGTAAGCCAGCAGGCAGCCAGCATGGGGAGGAACTGCAGGCTGTGTGCAGCAGCATGGCAGCGCAGGGCAAACAGCAGCCTGGCTTGGCTGCTGGCCTGAGAGTATGACACAGGCAGCAGTTTGTAGTGGCCCTGCTACATGGTCTGGGCACTTGTGCAATGGCTGCCTGAGGGACAGGTGGTGCTTGGTATATCCCAGGATCCCCAGCAGCCTCTTTTCATTGCCAGCATGGGCACAAAACACCAGAACCTGCCATCAGTGACTTGGATGCAGGGTGGGCCCAGCTGTCACAAGAGAACTCCCATGGCCCTATATCCTCCTCAAGGACAGATGGGGAAACTAAGGCAGAAAGCCCTGACTCTAGGTGTTCCAAGATCCACCCCCTCCACTCCCAAGTGCTCCTAAAAGCTCCAGAGCGCCTTACCCAGGATGGATGATGCTGGGAGCAGATCTCTAGAGGTCTGACTGAAGAGCCTCTTCCCCTCCCAGCCTCTCTAATCTGCAGAGCTCTCACTTCGTGGCCAGCAGGATTCCTTCCCTCCCAACCCTCCTGCCCTGCACCGGCAGGTGAGAGACAGCATCTGAAGTGCTCTGCTCCAGCACCATTGAGCCTTGCCCATGCTATGTGACACGCTGCCGGTGCCACAGAGGGCCAGGCCTCTAAGGGATGCAGGTTATAAAGTCCTGGTGGTCATCAGCATCCATAATAGTGTGCAACCTTTCTCCAGGGTCTCAGCAAACGATCTCCAGCCACCTGAACAGAAGAGGGCATGAGCATGTGGACGAGGGTGCCAGCCCCACTTCAGAGATGACGGATAGAGGCACAGAGAGGGGTCATATGATTTGCCAATGGTCACACAGTGGGTCCAGGGCAGAGGAGCAAAGGAAGCCCAAGCTTCCCGATCCTCAAGCCATGCCTCATCATCCAGTCCTGCTTTTCTACCACTGTTTTGGCCTGTGCCTGATTTCTGGTTTTGCTGCTACATTGAGACTGGCTGGGTCCATTTGACCATGGAGATTCAGTGCACAAGGGAAGCAGCTCACATATAGGGATGCAGTGTGGCACCAGATGGGGTTTGGGCACATGCATGGGTGTTGGTTGACAGATGATAACCAGAGACACCGTAATGCCAGCCTGGTGGAGGGGAGATGAGGGCAATTCCATGCTACCAACTGAGTGAACCAGCACACACTGATCCCACACTCGACTGACATACATCACTAACGAGGGCACGAGAGGGAGGGGGGAACAGATTCCATTCAGTAATGGAGACACTAAGCTAGCCGAGTCCATTACATGACTTTCTGAGTGGCAGGGCAAATGTGCGAGCAAGAAGTCAGCACGAGGAGATTTCCCCTTTGCTACTTCATCTGGTGTTGGCAGCTCCCACAGACACAGCCAGACTGCACTAGCGTGAGTGAGAGCACATCCCTGCCCTGGTGGACTGGCTCTCGCCCAGGCGGTCACGTCTGCAGCTCCACAAGGCAGTTCTTGTCCTTGTTGGCAATGCTGGCCTTACGGTGGGCATCCTCGAGGTCCTGCAGCACGTGGAAGAGCCTGGTAGGACCATCCATGTTTTCTGGGGCTGTGAGGGACGAACAAGCAGAGGTAACACCCGCAGTTAAATTCCTCTTTCAGCAGCAGCTGCTGCCAACTCACCCATCCCCGAGGAGGGGGTGCCACTGCCTGGCCCAGGGGCTGGAGAGGCAGCTTTTGCTATATCAAGCTATCTAGCAACTATTCTCTGACTAAACTCTAAATTTTCTGTTTTTTGAGGTAAAATGGGGTTTGCAAGGAAGCAGTGTCTTTTATGAGGTATAAGTGCTGCCTTCTCTGAACAATACATTTTGCTCAGAAAAAAAAAAAAATCCAGTACTTCACACCCATGGATTCAGCCATGCTGATGCGGGCCCCCAGGGAGCTGTACCTCTGTTACCTCATGTCTCCATGCTCTGCTGTGGGCAGGGCTACTTGGCTGGACTACATATCCCACCATACACACCAGCCACGGGCGCTCATAATCCACCTCCCACAGCCATCCTGGGGGCGCATGGCCAGTAGAGGAACCCAGGAAGCCAGTGTAGGGCTTCTAGCTTATACCAGCAGAAGGGCCCTCGTGCCTAAACACAAGCCGTGTGGACTGAACAGTGGCAGGAAAGCCTGCTAAAGGCCAACCGCCTCCTAAATCCATCTATGTTCTTCCACCTGAGCCCATTGCTGTGGCACTCGGGGATGGCCATGGGCCTTCTGTAAACCATGTTCACACAGTGAGATCACTCAGGGCCTGATCTAGTCAACAGGAATCTTGCCACTGCCTTTCACAGACTTTGGGCAAGGCAGCACTGTCACAGCAACGTAGTACCTTCACTTTGGCTCAGGCCGTTTTCCCTTTTCTCCAGCATTAACTCCTGGTACTTTTCCCTTTGGATAATAAGAAAGAAGAACTGAGTTTCTAAGTGCAACACATACAATGGGCTGATTCCCCTTGTCAGCTTGGCTTCAGCCTTATTCAGTCCTGCAAGACACTACCAACAAAGGGAGCTGGAGGTGTCCAGCACTGTGCAGGGTGGTCTGTCTGCTCCCCTGGCTAGCTTGGGGCATACAGTGGCTTCACCTAAAGACTGAGGCGCCATTTCAGCCCCTTGCCCATCCTCCTTCCCCACGTTCTCCCGCTCTACTGTGGCAGTCCAGTGGGGTCACAGAAAGGCGAGGCCAGCCCGGGCGTTACAGGGACTGAGAAAGCAATTTGTGGAGGAGGAAAAGAGAGGAGTCCCATCATCAGGGACAGGTACAACCAGGCACTGCACAGCAGTGCTGGGAACAGTCCTGCCTGAAGGATGCGGGGAGATGAGCCCTCATAGGACCTTATGATTTCTGCTTTCTGGACTCACCCACCTGTTTCCCCCCAGGGCACCCCATCCATCGTCACAAAGACTGGTGCCCACAGAGCATGATGTGCACCGCCTCCACCCCATGTTACCACAGCCCATGGGACTGGTGCACAGAGCCTTAAACGAGGCCCAGGCCAGTTCCAGCCTGAATGGGACAGGCCACCGGATAGCACAGTGCAGGCAACTCTCCTCACCCGTGGCCCCAGGACCGTGCAAGCTGCTCTGTGCTGATCATCCCCTGCCCACTGCTGATGATGATCCCCAAGAGTGAATGCATGGCATGTGAGACTCACCCCACATGTACATCCTCCCAGGCACCCACTTGTACAGTCCTAGTCCCGCTGTGGGGATCAGCTGCCTCACCTCATCGCATCCCTCACTCCAAGCAGATGCCTGAAAATCAGCTGAGACTCTAGGTCTGGATCCAAGGGGTCGTTCCATTCCTGCAGCGTGACTCCGTGCCGGGTTTTATCACAGCCCAAACCTAGGAGGCCAGTGAAAGCCAGGAGGTTGGTGTCACATGTGCCGCTGGCAGGACAGAAGGTAGCACTGGAGATAGACCCACACAGCCTGCACACAGATCCTCAAGTGGCCTGGGTGTCCACCTTCCCTAGGGAGCTAGGTTTTATATCTCTGTGCCTAGTTCACCCTCCACCTTATTCTGACTTAGAGATGGGAGAGTCCCATAGCCTTGGTAAGGTGCAATTTAACACACCACAAGCCCCAATGAAAGCACCCCCTCAAGCCAAGCATTTTCCACCCCCAAAGGCAGACCTCACAGCATCCCCATCAGCCAGGAGCTGAAGGCATGGACAGGCTGGGTGACCTACCCAAGATCCCATGGGGACTCAGTGGCAGAGCTCTGGCAGAGACCCCAGGAGTCCTGCTGCTGTCCCCACCAACTCATTCATCACCCTTTGCAGACAGCAGGCTGCAAAGCACAGTACCTGACTTGTCCTTCTGGTGGCAGCAGCTCCACTTATCTCCTCTGAACACACCCGGGTGATACGAGCACAGCATCTCCGTGTTGTTCACGCAGGCCTTCCTCAGGGCTGAGAGCCACTGGTTCAGCTCATTGACACACTGCAACATGGGCAGGGGGCTAGGACTGGAGCTGGGGGTGGGGTGTGGAGCTGTGCAATGCCAACCCTGAACAGCCTAGAGCCCAGAGCTCCCACACATTGTCCTTGCACCCAGCCCAGCATGCCTGCTGCCTCTAGCTCTGGCCCTTGTGTCAGGCAGCAGCTCCACACTGCGGCACCTCCTCCTGCCCAAATATTCCCAGGCTGTCCCTGGTTCCTCAGAACCATGGGCACGATGCATTGCTTGAGCTCCCAGGCTCACACACTCGTCTGGTCTGACTGCCCAAGCTCCTCTTTCTCCACTACCCATGGGCACACCCCTACCCCCTCCACAAAGGCACCTGCCTGGTGGCAGTCCCACCTTGCACTGCAGATAGGCTGTCTCTGACTGCCCCGTCTCGTCCACATAGATGATCTGCATCACATGGGAGTTGCCAAAGCTTTTCTCCTCCACCTTCTCGGCCGCCCGGATGTTGGACAAGGTGATGAAGGAGCTTTTCTGAATGGCAGCCCAAGGCAGGGGGCAGAAGCATTAGAGGGAAAGACAGGCGTGACCTACCAGATCCAGATGGCCATGGGTTCCTTCCACTGCAAGGACCACTTGGCATAGGCTGTGAAGCCTTTAGACCTCCATTGCCTTTAGACCTCCAAGTGACAAGTTAGCTAGTCCCACCTCTGAGGCTTCACATGCATACTGCCCATCCCCCTTTATATCCCATGTACACTGTCTCAGAGCTAGGGACAGTTCAGACCCATTTCACAGATGGGTGAATGAAGCCTAAGCCCTGCTTCCAGCTGCACCCATCCCCACTCCAGGCTGCCAAATCCTTGCACTTGCCCTGCCAGGTCTCACAGGGGAAAACGTGCCCCCTCCAACCCTGTCCTGTGTGTCCTCAGGGGCTCAGTGCCCTCTCAAGAGGTCTGTGGGATGCTGGAGTAGAGGCAGCATAGAGGTGGGGGCTGGTGCTGAGGGCCTCAGCAGGAAAGTTTCTCTCTCTCTACAGTTCAGGCAACACCGAGCACCAGGCCAAGAACTGCACTTCCCCAGTACAGACCAGAAGAGACTGATCCAGAGGCTGACTGCCAAGGATGGGTCAGTCCCTGACACCATATGCCCATCCAGTCCCAGCTCACGGCAGACCATGACCTCCTACCCCTGCCCTCACCTTGGAGCTGGGTGTCTTGGCAAAGCTGAGGGCTTCACTCGTGAGGGAGAAGTACAGTTTCTTGAAGGATGAGGACATGAGCGGCCCTTTGCCTTTGGTCTTGTGGATGAACAGTGGTCCTTCCTTCACAATGAGGGTCTGCAGGGTCAGTGCCTTCTGCAGGTCCAGCTCTGCAAATGACAGACCCCAGGGCTGATGCTCCCAGAGCCAAGAACCTCCTGTGGGAATGACAGCTGCCAGCCTTGGTACCCCTGGGCCTCAGAGCAGTGATGGGCATGGAGCCGTCACTCCCTTCTTGCAAACAGGGACACAGGGCAGGTGACCCAGAAAATCAGAGGCAGCCCCATGGACTGGGATGAGGATGGAGGTCTCCTGCTTCCCAGCTTAAGACCCTCTCCACTGGCTACACTGCCCTTCTTATAAGGCATGGGGAGATCCATCTGTGTGCCATGTACCCAACTATCACCATGTGGACTAAACAGAGTGACCAAGTTCCAGCCAGGGAACACTTTCACTTCAGGACGGGGGACCACCAGCAATGGCAAATGCCCCTGAGCCAGCCAGACCCAGTGTGGGTCCCTGGACAATCTGGCTTCAGGAGGCTTATTCACCTTCCTTCTCCTCAATGTCCACGAGCTTAGTGATGAATTCCTTCATGTGGGCAACACCCTGCTGGATGGTGGGTTGCAGAGGGGCCATCCATGCCTCCTTGGCCCGGCTTGCTGCGGTGTCCATGTTCCCAATGGTTTGGATTGCCTGGCACCAAATGAAAAGGCAGGGCTCATGGCATGCCCAGAAAGCAGCCAAGGTGCCTTGCAGCCATCAAAGAGGCTTGTACACTTTGGACAAGGCTGGAGCAGGGCCACACCACCTGGCACTGCAGGACTCCAGGGAAAGAACCCAGCAGCATTCCTCACGGCAGAGAAAGGGGCTCTTTATGGAGCTGAAAGGACACAGGCAAAGCAGTTCTCTGCCTGTGTAACTGACTCAACTGGTTTGAGATTCCCCCCCTGGAGGCCTCTCCACAGAAATTTCGCCCAACCATGGCATCTGTAGGACGGGGTCCTTCAATTGCTGGGGGACCCCAAATCTACTCACTGCCCAGGAGTCAGTGCCCAGTAGTCACTGCCCCATCCCCACCCATGAAGGCATCCCTCAGCTCGCCCAAAAGAACACGCAGCCCTGGGGCATGCTCACAGGGACCCCAGTGGTCCCCAAGGCACAAGACCCACCCCTCCCACACACACACACATGCTGACAGTGCATCCCGGGGCTCACCTTAGCCAAAAGCAGCAGGGTGCGGCTGGTACGGGCATCTGCGTGCTTCTCCCGCAGGTGAAAGAGCTTGGGGGACATGACGGCTGGGGAGAAGAAGCGGAGGCTCAGAAAGCTGGTAACGGCGATGAACTTCACGTTCTGTGGGGAAATCACTCATCAACACTGATGTGCAAAGATAGGTGCGTGTCCACGCACACGCACACACAGACATGCACTGGCATAGGGCTCCACTGCTGTTAGTTACCATCTGTGCAAGGCAGACCAGAATGGGACCCTCCAGAGCCATCAAGGCCTTGAGACATCTCAAAATGCCGCAGAAACCCTCCAGTGTATCCACCCAGCCCTACAATGCAACCAGCTCTGGGGTGGGGGAAGGTGCCAGCTGTTTATTAGGACTTGGGAGAATCCTTCCTCCTGTATAAGCTGCAGGAGGGGAATTCAGGGAAGGCAGGATGTCATTCCAGGGGCCAGAGGGAAGTGGGCACTGAGGTTCATGCCCCTCTCCTTCAAAAGGCCCCTCAGATCCTTCACAATCATGAGCCGCTAGGATTGGAGGCGGCTCCCACAGCAAAGATGACCCGCTTTCACTGTGCTGTGGACAGTTCTCAATTGTCATTCTGCAGAGCTGCCACGGGGTGTCGCGGGAGCTGCATCTCACGCTCCCCACGCCCCAGGTCTTCTCTGCTCATGGGTTGGACCCCGTCTCTATAACAAACAATTTCCCCTGGGGAAAGGCAAGGGCATGGTGCATATAGGAGCCCCTAGCCATGGTGCATCTGGGGAAACAGCGTGGCTGGGAAGCCCAGCCCAGAGAAAGGGATGAGAGCACAAAACAACTGGAGTACAGCTTCTATAGGGCACCACAAACAGGTCTCTGCATCTGAACCGTTTGGGTTTTCAGGTGTCCTCCTGTTTAGAGTCTCTCCCACAGGGTCCCCCAGGGAGTTATGGTCCCTCTGGCAATGCTGCAGCCTTCTCCTGCTTCCCTGCACTGTTCCACACCAGACAGACCAGGCCCAGAAGCACCAGTCTACTAACCTTGTGCTTGTTCTCGGGGAAACGCTCTTCCACTCGCGTGAAGAGCTGCCGGAAGGTGGCACGGATGTTGGCGGGACACATCTTCACTGACTTGGCAATGGCGGCAAGGAGCTCACCCAGATAGGCCTGCAAGTGCTGGGAGCTCTGCTGGATCACCTCACTCTCCGTCTGGATCCGGTGCAGCCCTGAGCACCTGCCAGGGGCCAGACAAACGCACTCAGGCAAGACTCACTGTGGGCCCAAATGCTCTCAACTGCTGCTCAGCTGGGGGACAGTATTACCATCCCACATGCTTCAGGGCTGACTGGTGAAAAGCTGGGTCAGGAAGGATTTTTCTTCCATCCTGCACTGTGCTGGGTACTGCACCACTGGTGAATGCAGGGGGGCCCAAGAGCCCAGCCCTAGCTGCTGAGAGATGCAGGCCACTGAATGGGCAGTGTGTGGCAGCTGCTGGGTGCACCCACTTCTAAGTCACCATGTGACCCCACAGTGATTTGTCTGCATTCAGAGGCACAGACACCATATCTCCACTGCACAATGCAGCATAAGGTAGGAACACCTCTGACCGAGCTAGCTTGAGCACTGGAAGCAGTAGCAGCATGTGAGCCTGGACACCACACCATAATAAATTTACTCTTCTTCCCAGCAAGGCTAATTAACATCAGACTAATACAGCTCTCTAGCCTCTGGTGCCTGCTCCACAGGAGCCATGCCTGTGCCATATAGGGTGACATACACAGAGATAGGAGTGGGAGCTCCACCTTCCCAGCCACAGATCTGGAGCTCTGGACTGGCCTGAATGTCAGCCCTCTGGTGCTACTGGGCAACATCCTCCAGAGGTCCACGGTACAGACAGACAGAGACCTGCTGGCTGGTATTTATGCATCTATGCTACTGCTCTAGGTAGCAGAGTGTGGCTGCATGCGAGATCCAGTGCCAGGGATGAGTGGGGACATCTGACATTAGCAGGGTGGTGCCAAATGACCACTCTGGGCCCCCAGACTGGTCCTTCAAAAACATGGGCCAGATCTTATTTGCACCAGATTTATACCACTGTTATTCCTCCTTTACAGCCATGTGAGAAGATGATCGGGCCCCTGGCAGGCGGCAAGGAGGTAGGCCCAGTGCCTGGGACCAGGGCTCAGGCTGGGCTGGCAGTTGGCATATTGGTGTCTCAGCCCTTGGGGCTGAGCCCCTGCCCCTTCCCCCTCCTCTTTTCTCTGCTTTGACCCCACACAGGGAAGCATGCTGGGCTGTGACACTTGGCTCAACCCTTACCCAACATCTTTAATCTCCACCTTGCTGGGGTCCAGCTCCACATACTTCTTCTCCTCAAAGACACGGTTAATTGTTGGCCCCAGGATGCTGTGCAAATACTGCATCCCTGCTACCTGCGTGAGATAGATTGTGATGTGAGCCACGCACCCACAGGCTCACCAGGTTATACACACATACACACAACACACTTTCTCTCTCTCTCTCTCCCTCTCTAGTATGCACTTCAGCATCTTGTTTCTCTATAAGACATCCCATTTGTTTTTAGCAAGCAAAACCTTGAATCCCTCAGGTAAGCCTGTCTCTCTCCTCCCCTTCCGTTGCCACCACAG